GCGTTATCATAATCACATGGTCTCTGTGTACTGCTGACATAGAAACCACCTCCCAAACACTGACCACAGTATGCCCCATGTGACCTCACCCATGATTAAGGCATAGTGTGAACGTGGGTGCTGAGGAAAACATGAGAGCTGCCAAACATAAATATATCCAAGCTATATAGAGGCTCCAGCCTCTCTCTTACATGAAGCCAGTCTGGTGGCCCAGATCTGGAGAAAGCGGACACCGTGCCTGGGTCACCATGGGGGACTTTCCTGCCTCGGCCTCTCTTGGGTCGGGAATAGCAAGTCATCAAACCTGGCATCCCAAGCAGCTATAACCTCGGTAACGCAAATCGGGTCAGAAATATCCTGCTAGGCTGGGGTTTGCCTCAGTGTGTGTGTGTGTGTGTAATCAATGAGGCACGGTAATGCATATAGCGCAGTAACTATGCAATTAAAGTGGTCCCTTAAGTATTGCAAAGCATTACATTCCACTGCCGTCACCTCTTTTTCCCAGGCTGCACAAATGAACACACACATCTTCCAACACAAACAGGAAAATCTCCTGCAGGGGAACATACATATACCGTATATGGTATATGGATAATAATATGGCATTATTATCAATATCAGCAAAATGCAACTACACTGTCCAATAAGAAAAGCATTGTATTACTCTGACAGACTGCACTTAGATGGACACTGGGGGTGTATATGCGTGTGCGTCGGCGTGCATGAAAGCAGTCGCATGCGTGGGCAGGCGTTGCATAAACATCACATACTGCATAAACATGGTCGAGGCACTTGATTGAATGCAGCCATGGAAGCCCTGAGGGAAAAAGGCTGAGCGGGGGAGAAGGTCAGCTCCCCTGCCGTCGCTCCTTCAAATCCGATTCCCTTTAAAGGAACATAGACACCCGACAACCTCCCTTGTGCGAAAACAAAACAAAACATGCTGGTCGAGCTCCGGGTATGAGCAGGTCAAGGCCCACTTTTCGCCTTTTTGGATATTTCATTAAAGATGCAGATGAGGGTGACAGGAGCAGCACTTTGCTTCCATATTGTCAGAACATGCGTTACTACAAATGCAATTATATGCAAAGTTAGTTCTGATACAGCAGGAGGGCGCAGCTCTTGTGGCGACCAGCTGTGAGTTCTGTGTTTAACTCCACTGCTAAAATTAACTCAGCATGACAGCCACTAGATGTCTCTGCTGCTCTGGTGGTGGTTCACAGGGTAGCTGAGGCCAAGCCTGCTGCCACGGTAACACAGATATTGCGAGGTGACGCCCGCTCATTAATTATTCATAAGGGAGTGCCTTGAGCTGGTTTCCCTGGTAACGCGGACTGTTAAATCTGCTTTGAAATGAGGGGGAGATTCCCACTGTTCTGAAGCTTAATGCTGACTGCATATCTGTCTCTAAGGCCTCTTGTATCAAGTTCCACTGGATTAGTATTCCATGCCAACCGTTTAGACCTTCTCGGGCCATTACATTCAGTGCACTGCTTCCATTAGATGTCAGACATGGGGAATGGTAGGGACTGAACGTAGTCCATGTACAGTTGAACAATGCTTGAATGGTATCTCGTTTATTTTCAGTTAAAAAATTAATGAAACCATTTAAAGTACTTACATCTTTAATGTCCATGTTCACACAAGGATAGGATTGGGACAAAATACCTTGTCATGCATGACAAATATGGCTGCTGAAATAAGATGACAGGTACGTTTGGACTTCCCGCAGTCTTCCATAAACTCAACTCAAAGTCCACTTACTAGATTATTCTGGAGATTTCAACCACATCCCACAGACTTCCTCAGTGGATGGAGATGGTTTTTGGTTCCAAACTATTTTGGTCTTAAAGAAACATCTTAATTCAAGTTCCACTTATTGGCTTATTTGGAGCTTTAAATTGCATCTCACGGTCTTCCTCAATGGATGAAGGAAGCTTTTGATTTCAAAATATTTTGGTTTGAAAGTAAAAATATCTTGAAGGTTTTCAATGGTTTCAATTTCAAATGAATGTGGTTTGGAAAAAAAAAATCTTAACTCAAAGTCCACTGACTAGCTTTATCTAGTTTTTCCAACCACATATCATTGTCTTCTCCAGGGGAGTTTGCACACTCTCACCACTGACCCGTAACTGAGCACATAATATACTCTAATGAGGTTTAGATCCCAGCCTGTCTAGCATTACGTTATTCGTTTTTCTTGTTTGATGCAGCATGAAAAGTTCTGTAACTCAACCATGTTTACAGAAAACTGAAGGGAAGCCCAGTAATGACCAGAGTGATAACAGATGGGTGGGCATCTGCAGCCAGGGATACTCTTCTCGCTGGCACTTGTGACGAAGGGGAAAAATGAATTCCCTGCTGTGCTGGCGTCATCACTGCCCTAGCTTCCATCCTGCTATTTATTCCAGTGGCAGGGCCAGGAGCCAATCACACCACTCCATTTCCTTTCTCTTCAAATCACCCCTCTCTACTACCTACCAATCAGCACATAACCGCAGGCAGGAAACGGTGTAAAAAGCGAACCCTGTCTAGTTTGACCTGGGATTGAACCAGAGAGATGTACTGACCCCTTCTTCTTGGCAACAGCACATTCCTCTTTTTTTTTATTAATTCAACTTTCCACTCCATCAGTCCATTCCTGTTTCCACCTCATCATCAAACAATAACACAAGAAAAGAACAAGACATTAATTTGGTTATAAGAGGTATAACAGGTGTGAAATGGATCCAACCCAACCAATCCTTCACTGTCTTGGGGGTGAAATAAAAGATTAGCGTCAACAGTGTTGGCAACAATGCTGTCATTTTGCTTTCATTCCATCCAAGCACTATAACCATTAGGATTCAGTTGTTGGCTTTCGGGACCAGTCAATAATGATGCAGCAGAAAACATTCCATTAATACAAAACCGCAAGCAATCTCTAAAGTGTATAACTGCCAACTGCAGCCCCCCCCACCCTCCTCTCCATCTCCCTCTCTTCACTGCAGTCACTTCAGGACTCAAACAGTGGAAGCTCAAAGAGTGAAAACTGCTAAATCACTGCTGCTGTTTTCATTTAACACAGCTCCTCCACTGGCAGCTCAGGGGTGCAGGGGTCAGCGCTGCGATAGACAGCTGGTCAACGACTGACACTTACTGCAAAGCCAACAGTTGCAGTGAATAAAAAAGGGAGTGATGGGTGGCATCTTGAAGCTAGACTTTATCTTTATAGAATCGCCTTCTGAGCATCATTCATGTGCCGATTGTCCTGACTCAGCTACAAGTTTAATTTATGTCTGGCGGAGGAGTATTTCTTCGCCTGTTTGCCATGCCTCA